TGTCAATACAATAATTCTGCAAGGACAAGAATGTGTTATCAATTTTTATTGTAGAAATGACAACAAAAAAGTGGGTCAGTGTGAGGTTGCTTTAAAGCAGTTTCTTAAAATTATACTGACTAGCTAAATTTCATAAATTTCATAATGGTTTAACTTTAAAATATATTCTATATCCTGCTTACATACAAAGTCTCTCTCTTTTTTTTTTTTTTTTTTTTTTTTTTTTTTCTTTTCCTGAAGTGCATCTCTTTCTCACAGTGCAATATCACTTCAGGGAGAAAAAGGATGATTTTAAACTTCATCCCATGTCAAGGTCATTGGCTACAGCAATTAAAAAAAAGCCTCCAGGGTCTTGCAGGTTTTGGAAAATATTTTAGAAAAACAACTATTTTGACAAGGATGCTTATAAACTCCCCAAACTTCCAGTAGTCATTCAGATTGTCAAACAGATGCAAAGACCAAAATAAAGCAATATGAAATATGTCAGGCATTTCAACTTTGCGTTCCTGTATTCACTTAGTGTAAGAGTCAAAAAGGTTATGAAAAATCAAATCAACTTCAATAACATCAAAACTCAACTTATAGAATTATGGATGATCAGTATTAACACAAAAAGATTTCCAAGGGAAGAGACCTCTTTGATCTAGCAGACAAAGGTATAATGAGATGCTATGGCTGGAAGCTGAGGGTAGATGTATTCAGAACATAAAAAAGGGAAACACTTTTAACGATGAATGTAATTAACCATTGGAACATTACACTTAGGAGCACAGTGGATTTTTCATCACTTGACATTTTGGAATCAGTAATTTTTGTAAAAGTAATGCATTAGTACACTTATAAGTTGTTATGAGCTTGATACAGGAATCACCCTGGTGGGAAGGAAAAAATAGGCAGATGTGGAGTATCCGTTAGAAGTCTGTTCATAGATACAGTATCCTGTTACTAATCAAATGCATTTTTTTTCCTTGTATGGTCTGCTTATTATACTGATGAGAACAACTGCCTTTTTTTTTTTTTCTTTCTCCCTATAATTAATACAACAACAGAAGAAGTGTTACTTCTATTTAAGGTATTTCATCATCAGTAGTTAAATTAAGGAACTGTGGTAAGGGATACAGTTATCTGTAGGAGAACTGTTCCATGACACCAAAACTAGCAACTGACATTTAGTACTGGTGATGATGATCACCAGTACGAGGGGAAGATCAGATCTGAGACAGATCAGGTGCACAGATCCATGGGACCTGATGAGATACATCAGAGGGTCCTGAGAGAACCGGAGGCTGAATTTGCTAAGCCACTATCCATCACATTTGAGAAGTCATGGCAGCCCATTGAAGTTGCTGCTGATTGGAAAAGGGGAAACATAACATCCATTTTTAAACAGGAAAAAACAAGAAGACCTAGGGAACTACAGGCTGGTCTGTCTCACTTCTGTGCCTGGCAAGAACATAGAGTAGATTGTCCTACAAACTATGCTAAGGGAGATGAAAAATAAAGAGGTGACTGGTGATAGAAAACATGGCTTCACTAAGGGCAAATCATGCCTGACAAATTTAGTGGCCTTCTGTGATAGTGTTACAGTGTGCAAAGCATTTGGCAGTGTCCTACATGATATCCTTATTTCTGAATTGGAGAGACACGGATCTGATGGATGGACTACTCTGTGTATAAGAACTGGATGGTTGTGCTTAAAGAGTTGCAGTCAATAGCTTGATGTCCAGGTGGACAGCAGTGATGCGTAGTGTCCCTCAGGGGTCAATACTGGGACAGACACTGTTTGACGTCTTTGTTGGCAACGTGGACAGTGGGACTGAGCGCACCCTCAGCAAGTTTGGCAACAACACTGAGCTGTGTGGTACAGTTGACACAGGGGGTTGGAACTCGGTGATCTTTAAGGTGCCTTCCAACCCAAACCATTCTATGATTCTATGTTACACAAACCTTAGAGGATGTGTTTTTGTTTCTAGTAGAGAGTAACTAGCTTGTAGGATATTTTTGGGAGGTAGGAACATTAGGAAATATGGTAAACATCATCTGCAGTAATTAAAATTAAGGAGTATGGATATTGTTTTAGAAAAATCACTTTGAAAAAGTGGATTTTTTTCTCAAAGAATGATTAACTAGTGAAATTCTTTGCCTCTGAAGACCCTCTCCTTATCCTCCTGTGGAAAATTTGAATATCTCAGCATGCAACTTTTTCATTTGCAGTTTGTGAAGTTATGCACAGAAGAAAATTCATGTGAAGTAAATCAAGCATTTATTCAGATGTTTATTCTTTCTTACATTCTCTCTACTTTTGCATTGAGATACTGTCCAATACTGAAGAAATCCCACAGTTTCAATCATAAAAAGGACAATTTAACCCTACCAGTAGTAGAACTCGTAGGTAAACAATAACAGTTTCATGTTTCCAGAAACAGAGGTTTTCAATATTCCCTAAAAGTTACAAGATAAGAAACAGATTAGGATCAAATGTGGAACTGCTTACTTGGGGAAAGATTTTTTGTTTTGCTTTGTTCTCAATTGCCCCTGTAAACTATTATTGGACCAGAAGAAGTATACGACAGGGTCACAGGCTTGAGTTGTTTTCTCTTGACATATTTCAGTTAATGTTTCTTTGAGTGGGAAAAATCTGAGTCTGCCAATCCCAGGGCTTAGCAAGATTAGATTTATGACTCTATTCTTTGCACTAGAAAGTGACCTTAATTCACATATTCTATTTATTTTAATAAATTGTATTATTTACCCCACCAAGTCAGTGTAGGATTTTTAAAATACTTATCCAAGCAGCCTGTACATACATACCACTGATATTTATCCTTGGACTGCTGTCAGAGAATGAGCAGTGTATGACTTGAACAATGAGTTTGGATTATGCAGTACTTATTGCTTTTGTATTTTATCTCTTTCATACAATAGACAGAACCTTTCATCTGTTATAAAGTATAATACTGTTTTCTCCACGTGATGGTATTACTGCCATACTAGATTTTTTTTCCTAACCTACCCTGTCATTTCTGGTTTTGAATCTTCCTTTATGCCTCTACACAACTTTCTGTGTTAATAGAACACAAATATTTTACTATTTTCTTGACGTCCCATGTTCTACTAATATTTTGAGAATGTCACACTCCATTTAAGTGTCAGGATGAAGACATCCAGTGTAATCTCTTCTTCCTCTAAGTACTTCTGACTTCTTTTTAGTCTGTATAATTCTATCTTTCAAGGAGCCTTTTGCAAACTAATGTTCTTAAGAACACTTTAGATTAAAACAGTGCATCTATGGCATTATAAAGAAATGAAACTGGCAGTGGGTGAATAGCTGGGGAAGCGAGATATTAGAAAGAAAGAGAAGTAATTTAACTACAGTAAAGCAGTCTAAAAGCTCATAGCTGAAATGTAGGATAATGAATCTAAAATGAGTAATATGTATTTCTTATAAGTGAGCTAAATTTTAGTTAGAGCTACCAGATTGATAGTTCTGAAGAATAAGTTCTCTGTGAAAAGGACACTAGGAATAGAAAAGTGCAAGTTTTTCTCCATCACTGGGTATTTGATCTGGTCTAGGGAGATCTTAGTAAAGGCAAAGTATGCAGTTAGTTTTCTGCATGCATTCAGCCTTTATCTTGGTGATTTGGATCTATCAGATATTGATCAGGAATGATCAATTAATTTCACATAGTCACCTTCAAGGTGTAATTGGTGATGCTTGTTTGCATCCTACTGCACAGATTCATGTTTCCTAGGAAATGCTAAGTCTTTGTCTAGGTACACAGAAACAGGAACAAAATGAATAATAACAATAATAATAATATAGGGCTTTATCAAGGAGGACCTCTGGGCAATAGCTTCTCAGTGTGACAAAAATGTGTGGTGATTATGTTAGAAAACCACAGTTTTACCTTTACCTATTAAATTTATTTACCATGCTTGGGTAAGACATTCCAAAGGGATCTATTGATGATAACACCTCCATCTTTAACTTTTCACAAAAAAAAAGTAAAAATGCCTGATATACGAAAATAACTTTCTGTCTATGAAAAACAGGAACAAGGTAAAGTACTGACAGTAATCACATTAAGGTACTTATATTTTTACAGTTTGAAACTGTGGGTAATTATTTCATTAAGATTAAAAACTGTGAGAGTTATTATTTAACATCGCAAAATTTGCCACTGTGAAAACTGTATGCAAAACTACAATTATATTTTATAAAACTTCCCAGAAAATAAGATTCAGTCTTATTGGAATATGTTTGTTTTTTCACATGACCCATCAGATTTGAGGTTGATAGAAATACTATTTTGGGAATAGTATTATTCATACATTTTCTTTCAGAAGAAAATGGAAGAGTTATTAAAGGGTTGATAGAAATAAGCTGAGGATTTGCAGGAAGTCATTGAACAAATCAGGCTTTAAAGAGGGGAATTAAGAGAAATTCTGTGCATGCTTAAAGACTGCAGACAGAAATTATCAATGAGTTCACCCCTTGATAAATAGAAGAGTTTTTTAATTCATTAAATAGTAAAAATAATTAGATTTTCACAAATATCTTGGGAGTCACTGTGATTTTTGGTGCCAAACTAATATGTTGTCAGGGATTAGGAGAGAAAGGTCCTTTTTTCTCTCTGGTACACAAGCCTGTTTCAGTGTAATTTAAACCATTTTAATGTGGACAGACTGAGTATGCGTTTTGGAAACATTTCAATCAGCAGTGGACAGCCCAATAATTTCTTGCATGAGACATAAAAAAAAAAATACTTCTCTTAGACCTCCTGGGCCACAGCTCTATGCAAGTAATTATTCTCTTGCCAAAAACATAAAATAAAGAACCTGAAGAAACACATAGAAAGCTAAAATTTTGCCCCTGTCTCCAGGGAACTAGATTGTCTCCAACAATATATTTGTTATTGTTTTTTATTACAACACTGACCCTGACTGATACTGGTATTCAACCTATATAGTAGATGTTATCCTATTCCTTCTATCCACAGCTTTCTACTTTTTACACTTCTGACCCTGGGAGCAGATGAACTGACATGCACTATAAACTGAGGTAAAAATATTTTTTTCTCTTAATTTTGCCCATCTCTTCCCTCAGAAAACAAAAATGATTCCTTAGATATTTTCTAATTATTGCAAGCAGTAGGTAACGAAGTCCAGATTCCTAATAAAGTCTTTGCTACATGAAATAAAGGTGATTCCATAAGGATGTAATAAATATATGTAATAAATTGTAAAACACCAAGACCAAAATTCCTGGCTTTGACATTTGTAGGATACTTATTTTATAAACCTTAAAGCAAATGGCTCCTTTGCTATTATTTCAGTTATAAAAGAACAATAATCTTTCAGTGAGAAAGAAGATGGCATAACCCTGCAGTTTGTAAATATCCATTAATGGAATTATAAGCTATTGTTCATTTTATTTATTCTGTTATACTCCTTCCTTCTGTTTTGGTAGGAAAAAGAGTCAATTTAACAATGCAAATTAATTTTACATTTACATAAAATCATTCACCAACATGATTTTTAATCCTAGAATTAAATATATCTTGCAGTTAGGAATGGCATGAAGTACATTTCTGTGTATAAATAGGTACTGTATAAGTTATTAACTACTTTATGAGTCAAAATAATCAAAAGCAATAAATTGGCACCAAGAGGTCTACACAGCAGACATATTTGATACCTCCTATCCTTGTATAACTTCTTTCACCGTGCAGTGCTTTGAGATTACTGCTCTTCATTTTACAAGTGAACTCATTTATTGCAGTTAGAAGAAATAGGACATGTAGAAAAAATATCATTTCCATCATACCAAGTAAAACAAAGTCAAGGTTTTGCCATTTAACGTATTCACTTTTTAGTTTCTTCCTAGCTATTAAGTGTTTTTTGTAGCAAATAGTCTGCAGAATTTATCACAGAGGTCGCTCTCTGCCTGTTAGCCGTTGGGAGGAGAGCAGTGATGATACTGCATGCCTGCATGTCATCTTGGGAGATAGTTAGGACATACAAGGGGTGATCTGGCCCAGGCACCCAGGAGCTAAGAAACACTTCTTGGTCTCCAGTGTAGGTATTCCCAATAAGAGAAGCAGTTGGGAATCAAGATGTATATTTTAAGATTGTTGGCAAAAAAAAGGAGAATGAGAAATTAAGTCCCCTACAACTGAACAAAAAGTGTCTCCTCGGTGACATTGCCAAAGGAAAAAAATTAAAAATCTAGTCTCCTGTACAGATACTGTTAGGTTAGTTCAGTGTGGAAACAATGAGAAAGTTTTTTAAAAAATTGTATAATTAATGGGTTTTGGTAACCTTTGTAGGTAGCTAAATTGAAATTAGCCCTAGAATTTGTGGAACTTATAATTTGAAATGTTTCTATTTCATAGAGTCATAGAACGTGTTAGGTTGGAAGGGACCTTTAAAGGTCATCTATTCCAACACCCCTGCAGTAAGCAGGGACGTCTTTAACTAGATCAGATTGCTCAGAACCTCATCAAGCCTGACCTTGAATGTCTCCAGGGACATGGCCTCCATCACCTCTCTGGGCAACCTGTTCCAGTGTTTCACCACCCTCATTGTAAAGAACTTCTTCATAATCTTCCTTCTTCATTTCCTTGTGTAGAAACAATTCATGTTCTAGATAATCTAAAAACAGTTAAAAGCTATAGGCAGGAATGTGCTGAATTGGACACACTTTAGCTTGTCGCATCCACAAAGTTAATCATAAAATTTTCTTCTGACTTGCAATCTTTGGTGCTTTGATTTTTTTTGTTAGTTTGTTTAGTTCCTCTAATTCAATGAATGCAGTGGAACCAGAAGCAAAAATCCTTACTATTTCACATTGTATACTGCAGGCCTACTTGTTTTTCCTAATATAAACACACGTATGTAGCATAAACAAGTTCAAAAATATATTTGTTCATACTGCTGTACCCACATTGGTGTAAATGCACAAGAGTCAGGACTACCACTTTATCTTTAGGAGGCATAGTAGGAAATGTCCTCCAGCCATCACAGATGTGCTCAACCAAAATTTGTCTCACTGTAAAAAAGATCGCTAAAGTGTATAAAATTTAGAGTGCCACTAACTTTCAACAGTTTGCCTAAAGATTTAAAATGTGTTTGCCAAAAAATATTAAGAATATTGAGAAAGTAAGACCTCAGCTTCTTGTATGCAAAGTCTATTCCATACACCACTATGGTTTATTGACTAGAAACATGGCAATAATGTATTTTGAACTCTCTGGTGGTACTGTGGGATGACTCTGAAAAAAAAATAATATAGTCTGGGTTAATTAGAAAAGTAGAGGAGCATTGGAATATGATATCATACTTAAGATAGTATCTACTTCAGACAACTTTATTCTCAAATGCAGTGACAAGGGAAAAGAATGGCTAAAACATGGAAGTTGAACTCTTTTCTCTTTTTCTCTTTATGGTTGGTAAGAAATGCCTTCAACTGTACAGGAAAGCTTATGAAGCAAGGGATTTTTAAGCAAAATTTTCATCAGAAATCATCATTACCTCAATGGCCTCCATCACCTCTCTGGGCAACCTGTTCCAGTGTTTCACCACCCTCATTGTAAAGAACTTCTTCATAATCTTCCTTCTTCATTTCCTTGTGTAGAAACAATTCATGTTCTAGATAATCTAAAAACAGTTAAAAGCTATAGGCAGGAATGTGCTGAATTGGACACACTTTAGCTTGTCGCATCCACAAAGTTAATCATAAAATTTTCTTCTGACTTGCAATCTTTGGTGCTTTGATTTTTTTTGTTAGTTTGTTTAGTTCCTCTAATTCAATGAATGCAGTGGAACCAGAAGCAAAAATCCTTACTATTTCACATTGTATACTGCAGGCCTACTTGTTTTTCCTAATATAAACACACGTATGTAGCATAAACAAGTTCAAAAATATATTTGTTCATACTGCTGTACCCACATTGGTGTAAATGCACAAGAGTCAGGACTACCACTTTATCTTTAGGAGGCATAGTAGGAAATGTCCTCCAGCCATCACAGATGTGCTCAACCAAAATTTGTCTCACTGTAAAAAAGATCGCTAAAGTGTATAAAATTTAGAGTGCCACTAACTTTCAACAGTTTGCCTAAAGATTTAAAATGTGTTTGCCAAAAAATATTAAGAATATTGAGAAAGTAAGACCTCAGCTTCTTGTATGCAAAGTCTATTCCATACACCACTATGGTTTATTGACTAGAAACATGGCAATAATGTATTTTGAACTCTCTGGTGGTACTGTGGGATGACTCTGAAAAAAAAATAATATAGTCTGGGTTAATTAGAAAAGTAGAGGAGCATTGGAATATGATATCATACTTAAGATAGTATCTACTTCAGACAACTTTATTCTCAAATGCAGTGACAAGGGAAAAGAATGGCTAAAACATGGAAGTTGAACTCTTTTCTCTTTTTCTCTTTATGGTTGGTAAGAAATGCCTTCAACTGTACAGGAAAGCTTATGAAGCAAGGGATTTTTAAGCAAAATTTTCATCAGAAATCATCATTACCTCAACTACCATGGTGAACAGTATTGCTGCAGAAGCAACTATACAATAAAAGAGTAAGTTGCCCTAAAGACAAGAACCAAGCCTTACAAGTCCCTCATCATATGTGGGATTATCCTCTACACATAAATATCCTACAGGGAAGCCCTGAGTAATCTTGGTCTGATCACGTTTTATGGATATGCACCATATGGGTGAAGGGGAAATGTCTACATTGACAGTAGAAACCACTGAACAAACAAAATGTTATCTCTGGGGCCCAAAGATAGACAAATTTACATAAGAAATGAGTTGCGTATTTTAAGAAGAAGGTTAATTAACCATTTCAAAAGTTTATCTAACAACTTGATCAGTTCCATCAGCTTAAGTCTCCAAATCAATAACCAGAAATTTTTAGGAAATTAATATAGGCATCACTGAATAAAATGTTATGAGCAGAATATTCTGGCTTTAGAGTCTATAAATATAAGAAAAAAAGGCTTAACAATAGTGGATAATTTGTCAAATGAGACTCCCACTGATATAGAAAATGACCCCAAAAGCTAATTGCAAACATAAAATATTATGTAGCTCTTGCCAAATATTTGCCTAAGTGGTGTCTTTGCTTTGGAAAGACTGCATTAACATCTCCTCACTGTGCTGTCTTTTACAACTCATACATAAGTACTCATAAACTATAGAAATAAGGATAAATTAACCACAAATTAATCTGAATGCATATCTGAATACACTCAGACAGAATGAGTGGGCTGTAGCTTTTCATGTTTGCCTATTAACTATGATTAATGATATAAGTGAATCTGAGAAGGTTTGAAGTTTTACTGATATAAGCATGCAAAAATATTTGAGCCTAATTGAACCTATCCATAAGCTGGGTTGGAAACTTGATAAACAAGCTATCCTGTGAGACCTTTGGATTTTGGCTTCCTAATATATTTGCCATGCTGTATTTAATATTATTTTCAGGCTTAATAGCAAAAATCTTTTTCATTTATTTTTGGTTTGAACTTAGTACTCACAGAGAGTATTTTTTTCTGATATATACTAACAGACTAGTGCATTTGGACATGGAAACTCTATTCCTCCCCCTGATATTATTACAGATGCATGACATAAAGCTACATAAATGTCATCTAAGTCTCAGAGAACCATCTATTATGGTTTCTTGAACCTATCTTTGCTCCTGAAAAAAAGTAAAAATAAGATTGGTAAAAGTGATATGTACAAAGAAAGCAAAGAAACTGGCAGGGTAAGTAGTCTTAGCCATAAAATACATGTGAGTATTCAACAACACTTTGTAATACTCGTATAGCAGCGCTTTGGCATCGAGTTCAAAGCTGCTTTTGTATTAGGCACACACATACTTGTTTCAACCAGCCTCAAACTTTGTTTATGCTACAAATCTTCTCTGTGGTCCACCCTTACATCTTCCATATTTCTCAGCATTTCTTCTTGTTCAGACTTCCTGGTTCCTTTGCTTCATAGTATCCTGGAAGGGCCTACCCAAACTCTTTTCACAGCTTTACA